CACGTAGTACGCGTAAGTAAGTCAACCAATCCATGCGCGGATTTAGCGAATATTCGGAGATTCCTAGCCTCGATGGCAATGTTCTTAGAGACCAGCTTGTCGATCAGGCCAGTTGTGGCTCCTGACCATGACACCGCAGTGCTTTGAACTTTGAAGGCTGCGGAGGTCTTGGCAGTCCTGGCAAGTCGCACACCAGCTGCTGCTCGCGGCCAGCAACCATAACGGTGGCTACTGCTGTTCGGCCGAGATCATAGAAGTCCACCCGCTTCACAGAGCCCTCGAGCTTCAGACCGTGAGCAGCAAGCAGACAATCTCAGATTATTTCATCAACTCACGCACGCCTCATCCACAAACTCCAAGAGGCGAGAGTAGGTAACGCGGCCTGAGGCTAAGCTTTTGTTCATGGCGTGCCTTTTTTAATCTATTCCATGCTCGGACTTGCCGATGATCTCATTGACTCACGCATCTAAGGCCTCTGGTCTTTCCATGCACATACAGCGATGCGGTGCTACGAGGGGATCGTCTTGGCAGCCAAGGCTCCGCTGACCCGCACGCTGCCGCCCGGCTGCTGCTGCTGCTGCATCTGGGGAGCCCCGAAGGACTGCAACGGCGGCACATCGTCGGCCTGCGGCGCTTGCATGTGTACAGCAGCTTCTGACACCTGAAGGGGGACAGCGTGATCCCCACCTTCGCTGCCATGGGCACTGCGGTCGCGGCAAGGGCGGCCAGTACCTGGACAAGACCAGGGACCAGGGATTGCACCGGCCAGGGCGCGCCTGCATGACACTGCCGACCTGAGTGGCGGCTGTCTGCACCACGTGCTTCGGAAGCGCGGCCCCGTTGGACACGTCCGTCGCCATGTCCTGCAGCGTGGGGTAAAGTTGCAGGCGGTCGCAGCATGTTGCAGCACTGCACAGTCCTGCACACGCCGGAGGACCTCCTCGCTGGTGCACTCCTTGGACTCGACCTCTGGCGTAGCCAGGCCCAGGCGGGCCACCGCGCTGCGGGCCGCGCGGCCGTCGCGCGGGGCAGCACGAGTGGAGCCGCAGAAGCCACGACGAGGGCAGTCCGCGCAGGCGAACATAAGCGGCTTGTCAGGGTGCCTTGGTGTACAAACAAGACCCACAAGACCCCAAGAAGCCTGCAATCTCTGCGGCCCAGAGCACAGACACTGCGACTTCTTTGCAAGTGTGCCATCGGTGGTCGTCTCAACCTGAATCTGCTGGAGCACATGCTTCACATTGCCTCACCACACAGCCTGACAGTGTCTTTTTGTAAGCTTGGGGAGCGGCTCTCTCCCCTGCATAGGCTGCCACTGCCATCTTGCTGTTTCCCATCACCAGCTTGCCTGAAGCTGCAGCGGTCAGACCATCACCAGCATGTGCCGACCTGCGCTTTCACCTTCCCACCTTCAGCAGCCGCCTGGTTGATCATCTTCATCAGCTGCTCACCTCGTCATGAGTGGCGCCCGCACAACAGTCGCGGGAAAGCATGATACAGGGGCACGGCCCAGACACGAGTCGTGCTCTGGGGCGACCGCCAGAGACCTTCTCCTCCTCTATCAGCGTTTTGGCCAGCGTGTCCAAGAGGTACATGTTGTCCTGCTTTGTCTGCATATTCCTGCTGCTTCCAAAGCATGATGGAAACCTTCTTCAAACAAGCTACCCTCAGCAGCGCCATGCCGCGCTGATACTGCTCGTCAACAATTCGCTTAATCTCCGCGTCCACTTTCTGCTTCAAGGCCTCGAAACAGCCACAACGCAACGGCACCTCATAGAAGAATCTGATCGCACCTACCAGATATGAAACTATGAATGTCGCAGAGAGTCCTGAGACATTGGGGGCGCACCCTGGCCCATGAAGTCACCTGAGACACTTTGGACCAGAACATCTCTGCCATTGCTGGCTGTTGGCGTGTTGGGTTTGAGGAACTTAGTCCCAATGACTCCCTCATTGCTTACCTTAGTGTTCGCCCATGCAGGTTCCCCGGCGGCTTGTTGTTGGGATTCCGCTTCGCTGTTGCATAACCTGATTTCTAACCTTCTGGCTGGCTGCACAACTTCACCTTTGCTTGGGTTGAAGGGTGGATCGCATCTCTCTACCTCGAATCTCAAAGCAAACGAACTGCTGAAGACAAAAGCTTTTATGTGGCTGCAGACAAAGAGCGACCCATGAATGGTCCACCTTGCCCCTGCTGACCTCCTAGAAGGCGCTGGCCAATCTCGGCGGACATGCCCAGCTGCATCACCATGGCCTTGGCCACCTGCGCTTCAACACCAAAGACCAAAGCAGATGCTCTCCGGCTATCTCCGGCCTGCGTGCATTGCTGGAAGTCATTGGAGGCGCCTTGCATACAACTTCCCTATC